TTGGCGACGCGGCTGAGCTCCCCCGCTGGCTGGAGCTGCTTAGGCAGGGTGTGGATATCTTTGCTCTTGACTATGATGCTATCCATACTGCCAAGTATGCATTGACTGTTAGTGCTGAGGGTGATTGTTACCTATGTGTGCCGCCCGACCCAGGTATAAAGGCTGCTGCTCTAGGTGCTAGTAGGTCTGCTCTCTCTGGTACTGCGCCTGCTGCGGCCTTGCACACCTTCACGCTTGACTCAGGTGCTTCCCGCTGTTTCTTTCGCGACAGTACCACAGTCACACCGCTCCCTGCACCTGTTGCTGTCTCTCTGGCTGACCCCTCTGGGAGCCCAGTCCTTGCATGTTCCTCCACTGTTCTCCCATGTCCGGCGGTTCCGTCTGGCTCACTGTCAGGTCTTCACCTCCCCTCGTTCTCTACGAACTTGGTGAGCAACGCCGTCCTTCAGGATGTATGGGTTGACACCTTTACTCCAGGAGGGCAGCGTGTGGCGATCTGTACGTTCTCCCGGACTGGCCGGCACCTGGCCACGTTCACCCGTCGGCCTGGGTCGAGTCTGTACACACTGACTACTGAGCCTCCCCAGGTAGCTACGTCTGCGTCTGCGTCAGGTCAGCTAGCGGCCCCCTGCTCGTGTCGCGCCCTGTCGCACCAGACGCTCCTTTGGCACCACCGCCTTGGTCACCCCTCAGTGCAGCGCCTCCGTGGCATGCACTCCCGTCTCCTTGTCTCTGGTCTTCCCAGGTCTCTGCCTCCCCTCCCACCCTCGCCTGCCCCTCCCTGCCTTCCCTGTGTCGAGGGGCGGCAGCGCGCCGCTCCTCACTCCTCCTCGTTTCCCCCGACGACTGCTCCCCTGCAGACTCTCCACATGGACGTGTGGGGCCCAGCCCGCGTTCGTGGACAGGGCCGCGAGCGCTACTTTCTGCTGGTTGTTGACGACTACACGCGTTACACCACGGTCTTCCCCTTGCGCAGCAAGGGGGAGGTCCCTGATGTCTTGATCCCTTGGATCCGCGCTGTCCGAAGATGCCGTGTGTTGTGATTGTGAGTTCCAGGTTTGACATTCCCTCTTCAGGCGGTGCTTCCCGCTCTGCTTCGGCGATGGCGGCAAGGCCACGGCCGGCAATCGCGCTCGTTGAGGCTGTGGGCGTATGGCAATCTCTGCAGATGCCGTCGGGGTCGGGGTCATGCAGCGCCGTTTCGCGCGGGTGAGCGTGATGAGGCACCCACGGTCTTCCGTCAGGGTGCTTCCAGTCACGGTGGTGAATGTGTTCGAAGCGCAGGGGGACGAGATCGATGAGCTCCTGCGAGTCACCGCTGCAGTCGGGAATACTGAAATCGAGGATGTAAACTCCGTTTTCGGAGTGCGCTCGCCCGATCTGCTTGCGCGTCTTGTTCGGCATTGTGAAGTGGAGTAAAATGTCACTTGTCTCGGGGTCGGTGCTGAGGTCGACCCCGCAATCCATGAGCTGCGCCGCCGAGAGGAGATTGAAGCGTAGATTCTGCACGATCAGCACGTCGTTCAGCGTGATGTGCGTCCTGCTCCCGCGGGCCTTGAGCACAACGATGCGCGCTTGCGCGCAGGCGTGTGTTGTTCGCCACGGTGACGTAGGTGACGGCGGGGGTGGGGACGGCGTTGGATATGTAACGCTCGGAACCCACCATATGCTGCCCACAGCAGCTATCCAGGTACCACGTGTTGTAGCGCCTGTTGTCGTTACGTGCGAGCAGCGCCAGTCGCGGAGTAACGATGTGTGGTGTGTCAACCTTTAGAAAATGTTCGCGCGCGATCCAATCGATCGGTGCCGCCCTCGTATCAGGTACGTGTGGGGGGCTCTCGAGCAGCGGGACTGGGAGATTCCAGTCCTGGTCGTCGTCGTCGGTGAAATCGTGGCGCGTGCTGAACGGATTGTTGTTCGAAGACGCTCCGATTGGATGGCGTGCTGGCTCAGGTGATGGTGAGCGTGCATGGGGACGACGGGATCTGCTCGTCATTGTCATGTTGCCCATGACGTTGCGGACGGGCGCAGTTGGTGGCTGCTGCTGCTGATGCTGAATTGTTGGATTCAGGTTGCGCGGTGGGGGTTGATGCCCCTGGGCAGGACGCGTGTCATTCCGTGCGTCTTGTCGGCCGGACCAGTTGCTCGGATTGGTCTGGCGAGGGCGAGATCGGTATTTGCATCGATCTGCCAGGTGCCCGAAATTTCTGCAAATCTTGCAGTATAGGCGCCGCGGCCGTCGCTCCTCCGTGTTGTCGGCGTAGAAGGCGAGGCGTTCCCTGTCTCGTCGCGGCGCTGGTCGCTGCTGGTCCATATCCCGTTGTTCGACGAGGAGGGCGGCGCATAGGGCGGCCTCCGAGATGACCCCCTGCTGTCGGAGAAGCGCCTTGCAGGGCCGCCACTCTGGGCCGAGCCCTTGAAGCACGATGTTCACGAAGATCTCCTCAGAGATCGTGCTTCCCAATTTCGCGATTTGATCGCGTAAGCTCCGACAGCGATTGATGTAGCTGTTGGCCTTCTCCCCTGGTGCCATTCTTGTTTCCAGTAGCTGCTGGAGTAGGCGGCTCGACGAAACCGAATCCTTCGGTTGGTAAACGCCGTTCAGACTCCGTACGCCATCAGGGACTCGTTGTAGTACCTTGCCTTGGCGTCGTCGGTGTCTTCGGCGGGTCCCGAGTAGCTCCCGTCGAAATAGTGGAAAATCTGCGCGTTTTGCAGCAGCAGCTCCAGTTCGAAGCTCCACGTATAGAAGTTTCTGCCGTCAAAGCACACACTTGTCTTTATTTTTGATATACTCAAAAACCTTGATTGCGCAGAGAGAATTGCCTCTTCGCTGGGACGGGGAGTTTTGGGAGTTGAGCCATTAGTGTCAAGGGAGAAGGTATGCGGGGCGGTATTGTGGCCGTTCGAGGCCGGTTGAGAGGGTTGGGAAGAAGTTCCCGCGTCGCCGTTCCGCAATGTCTGGAGTCGTTGCTCCAGGCTGGTGAGTCGCTGAAGCATCTGTGCGAGGGCGGCGGTTCCAATCGTCGTCGTTTCCTCGATTGTCGCAGCCGGGTTGGTCTGCGCTTCAGCCGTCAGATTCGTCTGACCACCAGATCCTCCGGCCATTCTTACGCGTGCGCGTGTGCCGGACGCCACTTTTTGTTCGCCGAAGATTTCGGTGGTGGCGGTGCGAAGGATTCCTGAGTCGCTCTCATACCATGTTGCGATCAGAAGTTGATCGTGCCTAGGATCACCTCCGGAAGGTTCGCACACGTCTGAGTAGTGGTGGTGGGCCCTTGACCTCAATAGCAGAGTGAATATAAAATGCTTGAGATAATAAAAACATGCAAGTACAGGAATATAAATAAGAGTACAAGGGAATACGAATCGACCTAGTCTAGCCATGTACTCTAAGGGGTACATTCCCTTATTGCAACGAAACCCAACCGTGCGACTCCAGACAGTTACGAAACTGTCCGGGCAGAATCCTCGCCACTGCTGCTGCCTGATGCTGTCTGCCCGACGGTCCAGATCCTTTCGTGACTGTACGACCCTTCGTGTCACTCCTGTCCTTTCGCCTTCATCCTTGGTAGTGCGTGCTTCGATTGCTGCGGTGAGGAGTGCGCAGTGATGCTTCAATAGTTACTATTCGTAACAGTATGAAGTGAATGACGCTTTGTTGAAGATACATGACAGAATTGTATGCGGTACATCTGTAATCCTACCGGCGTTTTTCATAACGGATGCCATAGGTACATTGCTGCCACCTACCACATTTCTAAACATGGTACGTGTACTGTACAGAAGTGTGATGGGCTGGGTGTGGGCACCCATCGATGCACCTGCTCCTGTGCTTGTCCCACGATAGATGCGTAAAACAGGATTTAGGGTTAGTTATTGTACTCGGTGGCATTTTGTTGCCTGGCACTCTGGCAGTTTCTGTTCAACGAAAACGTTCGTTTCTTCAAAGCAAGTTGAGTAAATACGCCCTCCTACGATTGTGTCCTCGAGATGATCTTATCCAAGTTTAGGAACCAAGACCAGCAGTCGCACACAGAAATCGAGATTATCCTGTGGAGGTGATCGAAGCTACCAGCATTAGTAGGTAGAACCAACCCAATCAGCATTTCCAGGTTACACTAGCAGAAGCAGGAGGAGTAGCAGTAAGAGTAGAAGCAGGAATTCCCTGCGTGGGTGGCTTCCGGCCTTCGCAGTAAGAACTGGTTCCCAAGGGCTGGCTGGTTTGCGGCTCCTTCGGTCAGCAACTGGCCTTCTCGCACCAATGTTGGTTCGTAGATATCCAGAATGACCGACAGGAAGCTGGTCATTGTCGACGTGGAGGCCACTCGTCATTCCTGCTTTTGAGAAACTTAGAAAGCAACTTCCACGGAATCTTTATGGAAGTGGAAAAGTCGAGGTTAGCATGCGGATGCGAGAGCCTGACAAGGGTTTCGCTTCCTTTCGCCACTGCTCTCCGCCTTCCTTCGCCATCCTTATCTGCATGCTCCATAGCTCCTTATTGTCATCACTATCGCCATCAGGCTAATGCCGGCTGCGCGCTTCGATTCCATTAAGAACCCATGGCGCTTCGATGCCAGCAACGCTCGTCCATCCACCTAGACTGCATCATAGTCACTACCGAATGTAGGTAGCATTTTAGACTACATTCCAGGGTGCCTTTTAGGATTCAGGTATTACATTTTAGTGCATTTCAAAGCGGGATATCGCGTGTTCGTGGTTCGTTACTCTGGATTCAAGCTTCGGGTCGAAAATCATTAGCTCCCTCCCAATGGGACTTCTGGATTGAAAGGAAAACGTTGTCTCGTCCTTCTCCAGAGTTACGCCATTCCACCGTATTTTACCGTATACGACCGGATTCGACCGTACCGCAATTTACCATAATATATACTGAGACAAGACACTGCATTCTTCGGTCCTTCTGCCTTACCAGCATCCTAGTTTATAGGGTTTCATCCATTTCTTTATCCATATTTATTTCGTTCAAAACACATTCCGTCATGACGAGCAAAAACGACAAATCCCACCGACGCTCCGCCTCGTCTTCAATTGGCGGAGCCGCCCATGTGTCCCCGCAGCAGCTCTCCAAAGCAGCAACGCTGATGGAAAAACTCCAACAGCCCGAAAACGCCGCCAACACGCGTCAGGTGGCCAAAGCGCGCCAAGTCATGACGCTCCTGCAACAGCAGCAGCAGCAGTCGCCGACGGGTCAACAACCGGCCCGGCCGTCTACAAGCGGCGGTCGGCCGGCGGCCGTCAGCCGGCCGACAAGTTCCGGCGGCCGACCGGCAGCGCAGCAGCAACTGCTTGAGAGGCCGAGCACTCCTAGTAAGGGCGACGGCGGCGGTCGCATCTCCGCGAGCGCGGGAAGCGGCGGGAGTGGCGGAAGCGGAAGCGGAAGAGGCGGATCGGGTTCTGCGTTTTCCGCAGCTGGCAGATCTATGTCGTGTAGCGGCCGCGGTTCGCCACTTACGCCGCCCGGAATGCACGGCGCAGCGTCTCCGGGATTCGACGATCGGCAGGGGGCCAGCGGCGGTAGCAAGGGCGGTGGTGTCGCGGGGAGGTCGTTTCGGCGGCAAAACAGCACAGAGGCGGAAAGGCCGCCACGTGGCACTCCGCCGCCCGGCGGAAGCGCGGGGCGGGCGGGGAGGGAGAGGGAGGGGAGGCGGAGAGGTGAGGGGAGGAGAGGGGAAGAGGAGGGGGAGTGGGAGCGGGAGAGAGAGTATGGGAGGGAGAGGGAGTATGAGAGGGAGAGGGATAGGCATGGGGAAGGGAGGAGGCGCGGTGGTGAGATAGACAGAGATCCCGAGCGAGACCTGGATGAGCGTGATTTTAACGAATCTGATTATAAAGGGCGTGACTACAAACAGCGGGAATCGGACGGAAGTGAGGATTCAGAGCCTGAAAGGAGAGCGTACGAACGGGATCATAATGAGTATGGTGGGAGTGGGGGTAGGGGGCAGGGGAGAAAGGAGGAGAAACAAAGGGCAGGGAAAGTCGGAAGGCGGGAGGATGGAGAGGAGGAGGAAGAAGAGGATGAGGGAAGGGGAGAGGGGAGGGGGGATAACGGCAGTGAGGACTATGAAAACGGGGAGGAGGAATGGCATGGGAAGGGAAGAGGGGGAGCGAGGAGGGGGGAGGAGAGGGCGGGAGAGGCGGAGGAGAGTAATGAATCTCCCCTCGAAAGTGAGAGCGACGGTGGGGAGGAGGAGAGGCAGAGAGAACGCTACCGGCGGGATGACGGCATAGGCTCGGATGAAGGCTTGGGTGAAGGCTCGGAAGCAGGCTCAGATGACGAGGGGGGGGCAGAGAGATATGGGGCGGAGGAGTATGAGGCACGGGGGATGGGCGCAGATGGGTATGCGGACGGGATGGGGGAGGAGGGGGAGGAGTGGAAGAAGAAGGGAAGGGGATGGAAGGGGATGGAGGGGGAGGAGGAGGAGGAAGGGGAGGAGTGGGAGGAGGGAGAGGAGGGAGAGGGGGCTAGAAGCAGGAGGGCGAAGGAAGGGAGGGGAAGCATGCAAGGTGATGATAGCCGTGATATATACAGCACCCGCAGTGCTGACAGCGCTACTGCCAACCTGCGGGAAAGAGGGCTGCCCCCCAAAGCTGGTGAGCGAGCGTGAGGTGTTTCTTGCTAATATCATAGCCGAGACATCTACGGCACCCGCAGTGCTGACAGCGCTGCTAACCTGCAGGACAAAGGGTTGCCCCCCAAAGCTGGTGAGCGTGAGCATGGGTGATTTTTTGCTAATATCCTAGCCGTGACATCTACGGCACCCGCAGTGCTGACAGCGGTGCCAACCTGCGGGAAAGAGGGCTGCCCCCCAAAGCTGGTGAGAGTGAGCATGGGTGATTTTTAGGCGCCACTAGAAGATGACAGTTCCCCGAGTTTTGAGTCGACTCAGAAGTCGTTGCAAGAAACCCCGGCTCAGAAGTCGTCGCAAGAAAATGCAGTTCCCCGAGTGCTGGTACCCGCGGCTGGTATGGCACCCGCAGTGGTGACAGCGCTGCCAGCCAGTCTGCAGGACAGAGGGCTGCCCCTTAAAGCTGGTGAGTGAGCGAGCCATGGGTTGGTTAAACTTAAAGGGGACAATTGGCAGAGGCGCAGAGGTGACCTATGCAGCACCCACCCATGAATCATGTTTCCTCCTCGCTCCCCTCCCGCCCCTTTCCCCATTCCCAGCAGCGCCAGGAGCGCGTTTGCTGCTCAAGTCACTGTCCGAACAAAGCATTTCCACCAGCAGCAGCGGTCCCACCCGTGAATCCTGTCTCCTCCTCTCTCCCCTCCCCCCCTTTCCCCTTTCCCAGCAGTGCCAGGGGCGCGTGTGCTGCGCAAGTCACTCTCAGAGCGAAGCATTTCCACCACCAGCAACTCTGCCTTTGATACAGACCTCGATGCTAGATGCTGCCGCTGCCCTTGATTCCTCTCTCCTCCCCGCTCCCCTCCTCTCTTCCCAGCAGCGCCAGGGGGTCGTGTGCTGCGCAAGTCACTCTCTGTCCGAAGAAAGCATTTCCACCACCAGCTACCCGGATTGCCAAGCAGTCCTTCATCTTCCAACTCCACTCTCCTCCCCACTCCCCTCTCCCTCCCCCCTTCCCAGCAGCGCCAGGGGGTCGTGTGCTGCGCAAGTCGCTCTCTGAGCGAAGCATTTCCACCACCAGCGATTCCGCCTTTGATACAGACCTCGATGCTGCTGCCGCCGCTGCTGCCGGTGTTCCTGGGATGGAAACTCTCAGGCAAGAGAGCCTTCCCTTAGACCCCAGGCGCGGAAGGGGATTGACCGAGCCTGGAGTAGGAGGGGGGAAGGGCGAGGGGCGGGCGGATTGGGATGAGGATGGGGGGAGGAGGAGAGGGGGAAGAGGGGCGTCCGGGACTGGGCTTCCCCCTGTTGGCGGGGGGGTTCCCCCTGGTCTTCCCCCTGGCCTTCCCCCACCTGCTGGAGGCGCTTCTCCTGGCCTTCCGCCTGTTTTTCCTGGTAGGAGCTCTTCTGGGGGTGGCGAGGAGGCTTATGACGGGGATGAGAGGGTGAGGGGGAACAGGAGGCGGTCGTTTGCGGAGGAGGAGAGGGAGAGGGGTGGGGGTGGAAGGGGAGGGGAGAGAGGAGAGAGGGTGGAGAGGGGGGGAAGGCTGCCTAGGCAAGCGAGTGAGGGAGGTGCTATGCTGAGAAGGTATGAAGAGGAGGAGGGGGAAGAGAGGAGGCATAGGATGAGCAGGCAAAGCAGCTTGGAGAAACGGGAGAGGGAGGAGGGGAGGGGTGAGAGGAAGGGGCGAGGGGAGAGGGATGAGGGAAGGGTGGAACGGAGGGGGGAAAGGGACGAAGTGAAAGGGGCTAGAATTCCGCGTGTGCCCCGTCAATCGAGTGTAGATGGCGGGGTGGCGGAGAGGGAGAGGGAGGAGAGGCGGGGGGATAGAATCCCGCGTGTCCCTCGACAAGGGAGTGTAGATGGTGGACGGTCGGAAAGGGATAGGGAGGAGAGGCGGGGAGGGGATAGGATTCCCCGGGTTCCTAGGCAGGGTAGTGTAGATAGTGGGGGATGGGAGAGAGAGAGGGAGGATAGGCGAGGTGAGAGGGGAGGTGAAAAGGAGGAGCGGAGGGGAAGGATTGCGCGTCAAGCGAGTGTTGACAGCGGGAGGGAGAGGGATTGGGAGGAGAGGAGGGAAAGAGAGAGGGAGTGGGAGGAGAGGAGGGACCGGATTCCTCGTCACTCCAGCGTTGATGAATGCAGGGATAGGGACAGGGATAGGGAGAGAGAGAGGGAGAGGGAGAGAGAGAGGGAGAGGGCAAGGGCTGATGAGGCAAGGCGAGGACCACGTATCGCCAGGCAAGGGAGTGTGGACGCGGGGTGGGGAAGAGAGAAAGACAGGGAGCGGGAGAGGGAGAGGGAGAGAGAGAGGGAGATGGAGAGAATTCGAGGTGGGAGGCCAGGGGGTGGGGTTCCAAGACAGGTGAGTGCAGACAGTGGGAGAGAGAGAGAGGGAGAACGAGGGGGAGATGGAGTACGGGGAGAACCCAAGGGACGGATTGCTAGAGGATCCAGTATGGATGTGGGTGCAATGCTGGGAGGGGGAGCTGTGGAGAGGAAATACGTGGGGCAGGGGCAGGGGCAGTCACACCCTTCTCACTCCTCTCTGCCACGGTCCCAATCGCAGTCGCTGCAGCAGTATCACCTGCAGCAGCAGCAGCACCGGGCGCCCTTACCCAGACGTGCTTCTGTTGAAAGTGACCCTCATTCCCCTCATCGCCTCTCTGGGAGTGCTGGTGGGAGTCCCCATAGCCCCGGCGCATCTGCTGCTGCTGCTGCTGCTGCTGCTGCTGCTGCTGCTGCTGCTGCTGGGGGTGCTGCCGGTGCTGCCACTGGTGCTGGCAGCGCAGGAGGAGACAAGAAAATCTCCCGCCTCTCCTCTCTTTCCGCGGAAGACCTGAACGCGTTAGGGGCAGTGGAGGGGGACGCAGCATGCACTGTGGAGGAAATCCAGTCCTCCTTTTTCAAATCCAGCAAGAAGGGGGGGCTGTTAGGGTTTGCTAAGAGGGGCCTGGCACAAATGAAGCGAGGGTTCTTTGGGAGTGGGGGCGGGAGCGTGCTTGGGCGGGAGTTTGGGCGGCTGGACAAGAAGTATCTGATGATGGAGAAGGAGCTTGGGGCGGGGCAGTTTGGAGTGACGCGCGTGGTGCAGTGCAAGCAGACCGGGCGGCAGCTGGCTTGCAAGTCGATCAATAAGGGCGACCTGAAGGTGAGAGTGGGAAGGGTGCAAGGTGTGGGGAAATGGGATGGGTGCAAGGGGAGCCATGCTGCCTTCTTCCAACACTCACCTCATTCTTGTGCAGAGCAAGGCAGATGTGGAGGCAGTGAAGAGGGAGGTGATGGTGCATGAGGTGGTGGTTGCGACACTTAAAGAGCCATGCTCCCTTCCATACTGCCCCGTCTCCCTTCCACACTCTTGCCCTTTGCCACCCATGCCCCGGCTGCCCCGTCTCTCCTCCCACACACTGCAGAGCAAGGCGGACGTTGATGCAGTGAAGCGGGAGGTGATGGTGCATGAGGTGCTGGGCGGGCATGTGTATGTGCTTTTAGACTCCATCTGTTCCCTCTCGCTCCCCGCGCGCCCCGTCCTTTCTCCTTGTCCCCCCTGCGTTTTGCAGAGCAAGGCGGACGTTGATGCAGTGAAGAGGGAGGTGATGGTGCATGAGGTGCTGGGCGGGCATGGCGGTGTCTCCCACTCTCCTTCCCTTTGACACCCATTCCCTCCCAACCACTTCCGCTTCCCACACACTGCAGAGCAAGGCGGATGTTGATGCAGTGAAGAGGGAGGTGATGGTGCATGAGGTGCTGGGCGGGCATGGCGGTGTCTCCCACTCTCCTTCCATTTGACACCCATTCCCTCCCAACCACTTCCGCTTCCCACACACTGCAGAGCAAGGCGGATGTTGATGCAGTGAAGCGGGAGGTGATGGTGCATGAGGTGCTGGGCGGGCATGCAAACGTGGCAAAGCTGGAAGACGTGTTTGAGGACGAGGAGGTGAGTGGTGGTATGTGGTGGTATGCGGTGGTATGCGGTGGTATGCGGTAATATGTGGTGGTGTGGTGGTATGTGGTGGGTGAGGGGTGTGTTGTGGATGAGAGGGCGTGTGATGGAGGGATCTCATATTGAATTTGGTGAAGTTTAAGATATTATGATTGAATTTCACGTGTTCAAGGCTTGACATTTTACCGGTCTAACAATATGAAAGCAGCCATGATTCGTTGCTTTTTTCATCCTTTCGTTCTTTTCTCGTTTCCCGCATCTTCTTCTCTTCTTTGTGTACCATGGATTACCACACCACACATTGTCTTTTGGCAATGCATGCTATTTCATGGCATCGCATCACATCGCATCACATAATGTTGCATGACCTGGCACGGCATGGTATGGCATGGCATGGTATGGCATGGCATGGTATGGCATGGCATGGCATGGCATGGCATGGCATGGCATGGCATGGCATGGCATGGTATGGCATGGCATGGCATGGTATGGCATGGCATGGTATGGCATGGCATGGTATGGCATGGCATGGTATGGCATGGCATGGTATGGCATGGCATGGTGTGGCATTGCATGGTATGGCATGGCTTGGTGTGGCATGGCATGGTATGGCATGGCATGGTATGGCATGGCATGGTATGGCGTGGCATGGTATGGCGTGGCATGGTATGGCATTGCATGGTATGGCATGCCATGGTATGGCATGGCATGGTGGCATGGCATGCTATACATGTCACAGGCGGTGCATCTGGTGATGGAGCTGTGCCATGGGGGTGAGCTGTTCGATCGGATCAAGGAGAGACGGCGCCTGGAAGAGAGAGATGCACAGGGCATCATGCAGCAGGTGAGAGTGGTATACTACTTGCAGGATTACCAACTTCGGCATCACACACAGGGCATCATGGAGCAGGTGACCCAGCTACTTATCCCACGACTCAAATCTTAGCCTCTTATGTTGGGTAGAATGGAAACAAACGCTGTCAAAACTTAGAATGATGGCCAAACAGTAAGTATATATGGCTTTGTTGTTGTGTAACAACAGATATAACTCTGTTTCATCTTCTGTCCACATCAGTGCTATCAGTCCTAGCCCAGTACCACTAGCACGGAATCGTGCATCGCGACATCAAGCCTCAAGTGGCCTATTCCATGCCCTAATCCCCTTCTTCCCCTCCCCAACCCTCTTCTCCCCCCATCAGGTGCTATCTGTGCTAGCCCACTGCCACCAGCACGGTACGTGCATGGGGACATCAAGCCTCAACTAACCCACGCCCACATCCTCTCCCCTCCCATCCCCCTTATCCCCCTTATCCCCGTCGATCCCACCAGGTGCTGTCCGTGCTAGCCCACTGCCACCAGCACGGCATCGTGCATCGGGACATCAAGCCACAGATGATGCAACTGAATGCATGCCTGCCCATATCCCATCTGATCCCTTATCCCATCAGGTGCTCTCCGTGCTGGCCCACTGCCACCAGCACGGCATCGTGCATCGGGACATCAAGCCAGAGAATATTCTCCTCAAGTCACAGCCCTTTCCCTCTTCAAGCCCCTGTCCCTCTGCATTCCATCGCCTATCCCCCCAATCCCACCAGGTGCTATCTGTGCTAGCCCACTGCCACCAGCACGGCATCGTGCATCGGGACATCAAGCCCGAAAACATTCTCCTCAAGTCGCAACAGTCCCTCTCTGACTGCCGGGTGATCGACTTTGGCATTGCTGCTATTGTGAAACCAGGTGAGACGCCAGGTGGGCTGCCAGGTGAGGCGCCAGGTGGGCTGCCAGGTGAGGCGCCAGGTGGGCTGCCAGGTGAGACGCCAGGTGGGTTGCCAGGTGAGACGCCAGGTGGGCTGCCAGGTGAGAAGCCAGATGGGCTGCCAGGTGAGACGCCAGGTGGGCTGCCAGGTGAGACGCCAGGTGGGTTGCCAGGTGAGACGCCAGGTGGGCTGCCAGGTGAGACGCCAGGTACGTCAGGTGATGAATCTTCTCTCCTCACTCCCAAGTGATTGGTTTCTAACGGCCGAAATGAATCTTCTCTCCTCACTCCCAAGTGATTGGTTTCTAACGGCCGAAATGAATCTTCTCTCCTCACTCCCAAGTGATTGGTTTCTAACGGCCGAAATGAATCTTCTCTCCTCACTCCCAAGTGATTGGTTTCTCGTTACAAGCTGAATCTAGAGTGCTGGGAGTCTCCTGTCTTTAACTCAAACCTATACCACTGCTGTATTGCGTCTTCCTCTACCGCTCTCCACCTCTCCCAACCCCTCCATTCAATGGAAAGGCGCCAAGCCGCTGACTGAGTTCATGGGGTCCCCATACTACGAGGCACCAGAGGTGGTGGAGGGCAGCTGCCCCTTTCCTTGTGCAATCCTTTTCTCATACCACTCCCCACCGCTCCCCACCCCTCCCCACCGCTCCCAACCGCTCTCCATCACCAGGCGCCAAGCCCCTGACGGAGTTCATGGGGTCGCCATACTACGTGGCACCAGAGGTGGTGGAGGGCAGCTGCTCCTTCCCTTGTGCAACTCCTTTTCTCATACCACTCCCACCGCTCCCCACCCCTCCCCACCGCTCCCAACCGCTCTCCATCACCAGGCGCCAAGCCCCTGATGGAGTTCATGGGGTCGCCATACAATGTGGCACCAGAGGTGGTGGAGGGCAGCTACTCCTTCCCTGCTGACATCTGGAACGCGGGGGTTGTGCTCTATGTGACTCATATCCCCTGCTTCATCTCACAACTCCCCACCACTCCTCTCCACCGCTCTCAACCCCCCATCACCAGGCGCCAAGCCCCTGACGGAGTTCATGGGGTCGCCATACTATGTGGCACCAGAGGTGGTGGAGGGAAGCTACTCCTTCCCTGCAGACATCTGGAGCGCGGGGGTCGTGCTCTATGTCATGCTGGCGGGAGTGCCGCCTTTTTGGGCGCGTACCGAAGCCGGAGTGATCAAAGCTATAAAGGAAGCCAAGGCGAGCTATAGAGGGGACGTGTGGCGCGGCGTGAGTGCGGAGGCGGTGGATCTGTTAAAAAAGATGCTTGTGAGGGATACAAAGAAGAGGCTGACGGCACAAGGGGCTCTTGGTAATTATGTTTTCTTGTCTTGTGTCCAGTTTCCTCCTATTTTCTTCTTTCGCATCATTTCCCTTCCTTCCACCTTCCTCCCCCCCTCCCCCCCTTGTAATTCGCACGAGAATGCGAGTGCATGCGTGCACACAAAGCATACCGTTATTTGTTGCGTGAGGGTCTTTTGCTTCGTATTTGTTGCTGCCGCAACATTTTGTCTTCAACTGTGGTTCATGCATCCTTCAAATAACTTGCCTTCATTGTCCCTGTGGGCAGCCCATCCATGGTTTACTGCGCGGTGACAATTCCGATGCCTTTCCAGTTGATTGAAACAATTAATGATTGAGGGTACATTCCTGGCACTGTGGCACAAATCCTTGGGTCACAAGAAGACGAGTTACAGTACTGTGCAGACCTTTGATCCTTGGGTGAAATGTGGTGCAGAGTGGTGTGTTGTGTTTGTGACGTGTTCCCAGGAATGTGCCCTGAGTAAGCAGCAGCAAACGGAAATAGAATTTGGTACAAGACTGCTATTTCTTTTCCTTCTGTTATGCGATCTGCTTGCGGTAGTTTTAGCACCAATAGAAGGGTTTAGTGGATCAAGTTACAGGAAATCCCGAATAGGTTTGCAGATGTGAATGTATTTTTTTATTCAACTACATCACCAGATTTTTTAGGTTCTCCGGCAAAAGCAATGTGCTGCTTTGTCACAACATTTGTGGCCTGTTATCGACGGATATGTTCGTCCTTCTAAAGCGTGATCTGGAGAGTCACTCAGTAACGCGCCTGGTCTCCGTGGCATACCACCCCTCAGCGTGTCACCAGTTTCGCAATCATACTGCAATAGGGTAACATCCATCGCAAATCACCCTTACGTTGTGACGAATTCAACCGATTGGCTTCCAAGTGGAGGACGACCAGGCCAGAATTACTTTTCGAATGAAAACGATTGGCTACGCAAGGTAACCAGTTGTCGCCGTTCGTTATCAAATCACGGCCCAGTACCCAACGATGGCCCCAGGCCTCTGCAGGACGAGGAAAAACATAACCAGCACCGCGGTTCCAGCAACGCGGAATCAGCAGCGCGGAAGTAGTTGCGCGCAGCCACACACAGCAACGGGTGGCGGAGCAGCAGCAACGCAGGGGCAGAAGTCCCGCAAGGGACACTCCCGCGGAGGCCGTTTAGGGTTTAGCGAGCATATCCTTTCTCCTCCTCCTCAACTTACACCTTTTTCTCCCTCCCGCCACCAACCCTAGGCAGTCTTAGGAGCCTCGGGCGTCTGTCCCGCAACCTTTCCGTTTCGCTGTAGTCCCGTCCCGTCTGTCCCCTCGCTACTGTCACAATGGTGAAGTTCCTGAAGCCGAACAAGGTGGTGGTGGTGCTGCAGGGCCGCTATGCCGGCCGCAAGGCGGTGATCGTTAAGAATTTCGACGACGGCGTTTCCGGCCGGCAGTACGGCCACGCGCTCGTTGCCGGGATCTCCAAGTATCCCCGCAAGGTGAGGTTGCCGCCTTTGGCGTGACGTGGCGGGAAACCTGCTAACGTAACTGCTGACGTGGAAGCTGATTTATTGGCCTCGTTGCGGTCTTTCAAGCCGTCGTTTCTCGTGTCGTGTCGATTAGTTCTTTGGGTGTGAATTCGAGACTGTAAATTGCAGCAGCACCCGATAGTAAGAGGCCGTCGCCGTAAGCAGGGCGCTCGAAGCAGCACCGTCGATTCAACCGTCAAGGAAATATCGTCGGCAGACAGATACGCGGGACCGTGGGACCGAGGGACCGCTAGTTCAGGCGCCTGAGGAAGATACGCGCCGTGAGCGCAACGTCTAGAGACAGCAGACAGGAATGCGGAATGGCCGAGGGAACGATCGAGGGACCAAACGACCGACGGACCGTTAGTTCAGGCGACTCAAGGAGATGCGCGCCGTGAACGTTAACTTGTAACGCCGGCAGGCAAGCATGCGGAATGACTGTAGGAAGAAAGGACCGAGGTACCGCAGGAGCGAGGGACCGAGGGAGGGGAGGACCGCAGGGCCGAAGGACCGACGGACCGAGGGGCCGAGGGACCGAGGGAACGAAGTGGGGAAGGACCGAGGGACCGCGAGTTTGGCCGCCGTAATATGCGCGCCGTGAACACCAACCCGCAGAGCCGACAGACAGAAATGCGGGCCCGTGGGAGCGAGGGTGAGTCGGAGACCGAGGAGCCACCGAGGGATCATGGGGTCAAAGGGCTGTAATCTAGGTGCGACGTCCGTTGACTTGGGGTTTCTCGTATCCGCGCGTATTTTTAGTCGACTCAGAACACACCCGTGGGAGCGGGGGAGGGTCGAAGACCGAGGAGCCACCGAGGGATCATTGGGTCAAAGGACCGTGACCTAGGTGCGACGTCCGTTAACTTGGGGTTTATCGTTCCCGCGCTGCGATCAATAAGTGGTTAGCCGTCAGCCAGGCTTGATTTCACCGTCAGCCGTCAGAGTGGCTTAGCTTGGCCGGCAGTCGTCTGACAGGCTTAGTTTCAGCGTCTAACTTTTAGGCGCCTCAAAGTCGTCAACCGTCAACCACCAGCAACGCTTGAATCTGCGGAAGTAGTTCTTTAGAGCGATTTTCGAGAACTCTCATTGCTGGACGTGGATTAGGGTTTCTTAATCTGTGATCCATTGTGCGCCAGACCGCCGTCGTCGCGCTGTTTACAGCGGCCCGATCGGGATGCTTGTGGTGTGGACGTAGATTGAGATGTTTGTCCTGCCGACGTACATCACTCCGTGGTCTTACGGACGTTTATCGACGGCTGAGATGACGCGTTAGAGGTGTGTAGGGGTTTTTGCATTGAGGCTGAAGGGTTATGATTTTCGGCCTGTTCTTTCCCACTCCCAAGACCTGCGCGCCCCTCCACATGCCTCCCCACTCCTCCCCACTTCCCCAGGTCACGAGGAAGCTAACTCCCAAGACCCTCGCAAGGGTGTCTTTCCCCTTCTCACCTCTCCCAATTTCCCGGACATTCTCCCACTCCTCCCCTCCCCGCCCCACTCCTCCCCACTCTTCCCCACTCCTCCCCACTCCGCCAGGTCACGAAGAAGCTCACTCCCAAGACCCTCGCGAAGCGCTCGCAAGTGAAGGCCTTCATCAAGCTCGTTAACTACAACCACCTCATGCCCACTAGGTAACTATTCTGCCCACTAATGAACGATTTTGTTCACTAGGTCATTTATCTATTACTCACTGCTAGGTAGTTGATTACCTTGCTCGCAAGTGAAGGCCTTCATTAAGCACGTTAGGTACAATCTCCTTATGCCATCTAGGTGACTATTTCACCCACTAGGTAACTAATTTGCATATTTGGTTAACTGATTCGTCTCTTAGGTAATTAATCTGCCCCACTCCAGCCTCCTCCGCATCCCCCTCCCCCCTCGCCCTTCCTCATCGAATCACCCTCTTTTTTCCCCCCACCTTTCCCATGTTTATCACCCCTCTACTTTCTTCTCGCACTCGCCCTCCTTTTCCCCGCTATCTCCTGTTCCATTCCCCACATCCCCCCTTTCCTGTTCCCCCATTTATTCCGTCCCCTATCCCCGTACCTCAATCTTTACTTGTCCCACATCACTCTCCTGTTCCCCACATTCCTCCCTTCTATTCCCTTGCATCCCCCAAATTCCCCTCATCCGCTTCCCCCAAATTCCCCCTCAAGAGCACGGTGACGGCTGACAAGCTTGACCCACCTTCAGGGCCATTGACTCCGTTTGACTCCCGCTTACTCCTTGGTTACTCCCCTTGACCCTCGTTGACCCGCGTTGACCCGCGTTGACCGCAGGTACCAGCTGGACGTGGACCTCAAGAGCACGGTGACGGCTGACAAGCTTGAGAGCTCGGCCAAGCGGGTGGAGACCAAGAAGGTGCGAGGGGGGGGGAGGGGACGAGCGAGGAGGAGAGAGGACTGAGGGGGGACCTTTGAGAAAGAGGGAGAGCGATACCATTGGTGAGGTGAAGGAAAGGGATGAAGACAGGTAGGAAAGGGAGAAGGAAGGAGGGAGAGGGGGGGGGGGGGGGTGAGGGAGGGGGGGAAAGGGAGAGGGAAGGGGGGAAAGGGAGAGGGAAGGGTGGAAAGGGGGAGGGAGGGGGAAAGGGAGAGGGAGGGGGGGAAAGGGAGAGGGAGGGGGGGAAAGGGAGAGGGAGGGGGGGAAAGGGAGAGGGAGGGGGGAAAAGGGAGAGGGAGGGGGGAAAAGGGAGAGGGAGGGGGGAAAAGGGAGAGGGAGGGGGGGAAAGGGAGAGGGAGGGGGAAAAGGGAGAGGGAGGGGGGAAAGGGAGAGGGAGGGGGGAAAGGGAGAGGGAGGGGGGAAAAGGGAGAGGGAGGGGGGAAAAGGGAGAGGGAGGGGGGAAAAGGGAGAGGGAGGGGGGAAAAGGGAGAGGGAAGGGGGGAAAAGGGAGAGGGAGGGGGGAAAAGGGAGAGGGAGGGGGGAAAAGGGAGAGGGAGGGGGGAAAAGGGAGAGAGAGGGGGGAAAAGGGAGAGGGAGGGGGGAAAAGGGAGAGGTAGGGGGGAAAAGGGAGAGGGAGGGGGGGAAAGGGAGAGGGAGGGGGGGAAAGGGAGAGGGAGGGGGGGAAAGGGAGAGGGAGGGGGGGAAAGGGAGAGGGAGGGGTGAAAAGGGAGAGGGAGGGGTGAAAAGGGAGAGGGAGGGGTGAAAAGGGAGCCAACCTCTGCAAAACTTTCTCAGTCTGTCTGCTATCAGATTGTGCCTGAAGAAAATGGCGTTTATGGGCTTTTTCTTGCCTTTTTGCGAAATACGGTTTCTTTCGCTGTGCCATATCCCCTCTCCTCCCCTCCCACCCCCGATCCCTCCCACCCTCTCCCTTCTCCCCCTCCTTGATTTTTCCCCCATTCCGTCTGTCCAGGTTTCTGCCTTTCTCTCGTGCCCTGTGCTCTTGCCCTTACCGCATGTTTCTAAGGAAGCTCTGGTTCTGTGCTGCCTCTGAATCATTCTCACGTTTTTGTTTCCTCCTGCGCATTCCTCTGTCCCCGTTTGCTCATCTGCCCGTGTGGCACGGCAGGAGCTGAAAAATATATTTGAGGAGCGATTCAAGATGGGCAAGAACAGATGGTTCTTCTCCAAGCTCCGCTTCTAACCCGTTCTTTTTTCCTCATCTACCTCTGCGCGTGCTTGCCTGAATGCCCGTTTGCCCATCTTCCCATGTGCCTGTTATTCGCACATCTGCTTTGCCTGGTGGCACCACAGGAGCTGAAGAAGATCTTTGAGGAGCGATTCAAGACGGGCAAGAACAGATGGTTCTTCTCCAAGCTCCGGTTCTAAGCGCTGGGGACAAAACACATGCTTGCGGTTTCGGAAGCCACGTTTCTTATGGCTGCACTGGTTGAGCTCCTGAAGCTAGCATAAGGCTGATAGGATCTGAGAAATATGATTGTTTTCTCATGGCTGTATGTGCTTTGGAATAGTGATCAATGAGTGTACTTCCTGTAAGGCTCTTCGTGTCTGCTGAAAGAGGTTGACATTCTTTCAAATGCGATTGCATGTGCCAGCTGACAGATGTGTGAGCTGAGCTTTTAATGGGTCTCAATGAATCCAGATATTAATCGTATTTTTGTTGTAACATGTTCTGATATATAAATTTGTATAAATAAAAGTTATGTAGAGAGACAGGCCAGGGTTTGGAAAGTGGTTTGCACGAAATCGTTCGTGGCACTGTTCACAGGTCGTGCTGACTCAATTCACCTGGAGAGTGGGCCACGGGTTGAGGCATTAGTTGAATCGGAGTCGTCAAATCGGAGTGCTGTTGTGTACAGTACAACAGCGCTACATCACTACAGTAACACTGTTCCAAACATTTGCCTAACCAGCCAAACGAGGCAGACGACCTTTCTCTTCTCTCCGTCACTGTCCTTCTTGCGTGATGCCCGCAAGGCTTCCTCACGCACATCGCCTACGGTACGGCGCTCGAATGAAATCCTAGCCCGTTGAGTTATAGTTTTAACTTCCAGCTTGGTGCTCGTTTAGAAATATGTAATCTGAGTACACACAAGCGTCGAATGTGCTGGAGAGTTTTTACGATATGTTTGAAGAATCAACCAGATTAAAAGGAGGTGTACTGTGGATTGGAGGCTGAAAATCGTATCCAATCTACATTGTATATCTGAGGATTCTGCATTCATTACGGGCTGTTCTCACCTCAAGCCAACATCTTGCTGGGAACATGAGACTACAGTAACAATGTCCTTGCAGGTTCTTTTTAGAAAAAACAAAATATAATTTCTCCAAGAAACACCTTGTGTATTACAGTGTGGGAAACCCCACTAAGTGTCCAATTTTGTGGCATCCATACCGTTTACCCCTCCTGTTTTTCGCCTCTCCACAACCGCAACCCTGTATTGTGTGGGCGTCACTTGAGAGGGACAACTAATCGCCAGAGTGACTTTTCAGAGATTGCGCGAACTTCACGAGTATATCTAGTGGAGAAGTTCAAGTTTCATGGTTGTTCCGCAACACCTGACCGCAACCAATTCATTGGTTTGAAGTTGAATCAATCTAGACTGTTTCCTTCGAATCTTTTTTGTTTATTGTGGATGATCACGTGCCAGATCATCGCTCAATTATTTCTTTTGCGGTGCGTCCAATTAGGCCATAGCAAGAGGCCGCGCTTGAAATTTACCTGGAAGCTAGTGGCTGCAAAACGGTAACTGACAGGGCGTTCAATAAACGACAAGCATTCCCACTTCTATAACGACCCTGGTCGACACGTGACGCCAAATTTCCGAGTCTTCAATTGGCTAGTGGGTGCATCTTGATTTTTGCACAGTCATTGTGGTTCGAAGTACACCCTCATTCTCACCTTTCTCACCGTTGGAAGCACTGGCTACAGTGTTTGGACGTAGCGGGCTGGTGCGATAACTCGGTGCGGGCAAAGTCGCACGACGTGACGAACAAGCCTCGGCCCACCCTAAACCGTTTTCCCTGAATAACTGTCTTAACCGTTCAAAATATACCAGTACCATTCTAGAACGTATTCAAACTTGACTAAACGCCTTTGGTCAAATTGTCACTATAACGTATGTGATAGGGCCTTCTTTGGTCCGGTGCGGCTACACTAAGCGTCTCGATCAGTATAACATATGCAAGTCTATCGAGAATGAGGGTGTACTTTAGGCACAGACCTTACACTGTGTGAGGGTATGAAGAAATCGAGCTTCACCGGCTGTGGAAATCATATGTGTACCCCGAATTACATGAGGCATATGACTAGCCTTCGAAATGATTTTTTAGGCCCATTTCAGCTGAAACTCCCTTGGGTTGACAAAATTGTAATTGCTGACCAGATTAAACAAGGTACAAATAATTTTCAGCATACTCATTGAATCTTCCAGATCACATGAGGACTTAATCGGACATTTATTTTCCCGAGCGTTCGTCAGCTTCGCCACAGGCAGAAAGGGTCTGTACACAACCAGCCATGTCAGTGCAGCAAATCTGGGTGGCTAGGTTTGTTGTACTCATCGGAAATCAAGAGGCTCTCAACGACTTCTCAATTTCCGAATCTCCTCCTTCCGCGAGGGCTTATAACGACTTTCGGTTTCCCGTGCTCAATGGTGTTAAAGACTCGGCGTAATGTTTTCGGCTATTGATGCGATAAGGTTGGACATCCATTGTAGTGTGAATTCACTTCCTCTTACATCGAACTTCTCCTCCGTCCCTTCCTTTCCCTTCCATTCCCTTCGGGTACGTAGCTTTTGCGGGGGTACTACTAGCGATCCTGCGCTTTCTAGGGAACTACAGTGCTAGTTGCGGGCACTTTCCGCCCCTCCGCCACTCCGACAGGAAAGTTATGGCAACACCACAGAACTCGGTCCCACATTCACCCACGTGTCACAAATTCGGAAAGTTAGAAAACGCACGCAGAAAAAAATAAAACCCAGAGCGAACCTGGACTCATTTTCGGGAGGGATAAACCCTAAACACGGGAACCCACATTTTTTTTAGGGTTGATGCCTCCCCGAGACGCATCCCTTCCCGATTGGGTTTTATTTTTTTTCGGTCAGGTAAAGGGATATTTTCTCCAGTCACTTGCGAAATTCTGACACGTGGGTGAATGTGGGACCGAGTTCTGTGCTGTTGCCATAATGTTCCTGTCGGAGTGGCGGAGTGGCGGAAAGTGCCCGCATATAGCACTGTAGTCCCCTTGAAAGTGCAGAGTCGCTAGTAGTACCCCTGCCAAAGCTACTTACCCATTCCCTTCCCTCATCGTTTCCGTCCTCCCTGGTTGACTCGCTTGGCCGTGCGCTACCGCCAAGCCCACACCTAGCGGAACCACTAGTTGCACCGCACGCCACGCCAGCGCCGCAATGCCAGGGTCAGTGTGACTCACTGGTCCCAAAGAAAGCGGGGTCTCCACCACTAGTGTTCGGATTTGGGCGCGCGGGAAACCTGGAGGGGAGGGTGAGATGTGCGCAAGCGGACAGCCGAGCCCACTCTCCGCGCAATCCAGTCCTGCGATTGCCCCCACGATCCAAGCCATGCCATTTCCAAGCGTCCACGCGAGGAGACGCCATGGACTCTCAAAGTGAGCTGTCTCTCACCATCAAGTTCCTATTATGTATTCCTCCCCACCCCATAATTTCTGCTCGTGTTTGAGGAGGCGTAAGTGGGTTTGCTTGGCGTATCCCAGCATCCTGCGTAGTTTCGGCTCTATCCAACAGATTAACTAACTACCTCGTACAGTCCGTTCCACGAACACTTCAAGCTTCATTGTAGTCAGTCATCCTCACAAACTCAGATTTCTCGAATCATCACAAACACCTCCTTGCTTTCACTGCTCAACCACGAAAGCTCTTCATTTCTGTACCAACCGCGGATCGCGGGACATCCATTTCCCCTCTTGGACGATATTTTCTTGAGCTGTCGCGAGTTGTAAGCTAACTAACTCCAACCGATTATTGTTGAAGATTCGGCGAACTTCTCGTGTAACGAACCCCGCCGTGCGAGAAATGTCTTGGCAATCTGGATCAGAAGTCGAACCGCCGCAACCGCCGCCTGTGTTGGCGCAACAGCAGCAGCAACAACAACAGCACCAGCGCCACCGCAGCAGCCAATCGGAAGAATTCGAGTCAGCAGTCGCTGCCGTCATTTCGCGAATCAAGATCGACAAGCCCCCTTCGTCGAATTTCGAGTCGGCGCCGAAGCCGCCTCTCCCCGCGGCGGCGCGCGAAGCGGATTTCTCTATGGGAGAAACGTCGTCGGCGCCGCGTTTCGCGGCGGGACATCAGGCCCAGCTTCACCATGACGGAAGCCCTTGGGAAAACCCGAGCGCGCATTCCACGGCGGATATGATCGTGTCTCCGCCGGCGACGGCTTATCTCCGCCCGAACCGCTTCGGCGCGCCGCTGGTGCGTCCTTCTAGCGCGGGGAGTTCCCGGGGGGGCAGTTCCGCCGGCGGCGGGAGTTTCCGCGCGCAGCGCGGCGACGCGTCGCCCCCGACGTTTAATATCCCTCTAACTACCACTCAAACGCAGAAGCAGCGCTGGCCGGACAGCCACGGCGCGCAAACGCTAAGCGCGTGGCTCCAACGAACCAGCAGCTCAGGCTCGGGATCTGGCTCGGAAGGCAAAGCAGCGCAAGACCACGGGGCGCTGCAGCGCTGCGCTTCGGCGCCGCACGAGCGCAACGGCGGCGGCGTGAATTCCGACGGCGCGCCGCGCGGCGGCGGCGGCGGCGAAGCGCGCGAAGTGGTGGCGGCCCTGCAGGCCGGCTACGGCGGGATACAGCAGGAAACCGAGGAGGAGCGCTCGATAAAGCGCCGACTGCTGAACCGCGAATACGCGAAGCGGTCGCGGCAGCGGCAGCACGAGCGATTCGTGGAGCTCGAGGCGCAGGTGAACTCCATGGCGGCGGAGAAACGCGCCGCGGACCAGCGGCTCCAGGAGATGGAACAGGCGCTGATGATCCTGCAGGGGGAAAACGAGCGGTTGCGGCAAATTGCCGCGGGGCGCTACAGCCGCGACATGGCGGAGATACTGCGCGCGATACAGCAGGCGGGGGGGTTTCCCGCGGAGGCCGCGGCGGGGCTTTCCGCCGCGGGGGGGATTTCCGCGGTAGGGCCTGCGGCGCAAGTAGTAGTAGCGCCTCCTCAAACGGGCTTCGTTCGCGACGTTCGCGACATTCGCGACGCTCGTGGTTTCTTAGAGGAGGGCGCGTCCGCGTCTGCGTTTGCGTCCGCTTCCGCCGCCGCTGCAGCCGCCGCAGCAGCAGCGCGAGCAGATTTAATGTTCAACGGCGCTGGTTTGTTTCCTGGCGCGGGCAGCTACGGAGGGATGGGACTCGCGGGGACAGACACTGAGACCGCGATTGGGGGAAGCTGGCCGCGAATTGCCTCCGCCCCTTCCGCGGAGATGGGGGGGGAGACCACCGCTGCGCGGGAACATATGAGCGGAGCCCATGCTCCGCCCGCGCCAGGTCGACAGAGGGGGACATTTCCCCCTCCTCCGCCTGCACAAGCTTCGCCATCGATTCAGGGTTTTTATGGGCAGCCCAGAGAAGCAAGGCTGGGGGGCGGAGATTGCACGTTGGGAGATTTTTCTGCGATGGAAGACAAGAATGAAATGATGATTTTCGCTGCTGCTGCTGCCTCTGCTGCTGCTACTTCCTCTGCCCCGGCTCCCGCTGCTCCTGCTGGTAACCCCAGGAGTTACGATAGCTTCGCAATGGCCGGTGGCCGCGCCAGCTCAGGTGCCTTTTCAGGTGTTTTCGCCGCTGCTGCTCCCACTACAACTGCAGTAAATCCGAGCCCTGGTGCTGACTATAACTTACGAGACAGTACCGGCTTCGGTAACATATTCCCCTCAGGATTTCGTGCAAACACCCGTGCCACTGGTCCCACTTCAAACCACCATAGTAATCACGCAATTTCCGGGCCTACTAATGCGGCGTTCAACTCAGCGTGTTTAGGGTTTGGTGCTGCTGACCTGGATGTTTCTCTGGGAGGAGATGAGGACACAGCTGCTTTGCTGGCCGTTGCAGGGCTTGTGGGGGGGGATGGAGGGAGTGGGGCGAAGGAGGGAGCGGAATTGGGGTATGGGATGGAGGAGGTGGGAGGAGGGGAGGGAGGGGAGGGAGGGGAGCGGGTGGAAGGGTCTAGCTGCGGAGGGGTGGGGCAGGGGAGTGGAGGGGAGTGGAATGAACATGAGGGGACCCTGTTTGCCATGATCCATCATCTGCACGGGCAGCTGTGAGGCGTGTTCGAAGGTGCCTTATGGGTTGCCTCCTTTCAAGAGAAGCACGAATCACGAGGGGACCCTGTTTGCCATGATCCATCATCTGCACGGGCAGCTGTGAGGCGTGTTCGAAGGTGCCTTATGGGTTGCCTCCTTTCAAGAGAAGCACGGATCACGAGGGGACCCTGTTTGCCATGATCCATCATCTGCACGGGCAGCTGTGAGGCGTGTTCGAAGGTGCCTTATGGGTTGCCTCCTTTCAAGAGAAGCACGGATCACGAGGGGACCCTGTTTGCCATGATCCATCATCTGCACGGGCAGCTGTGAGGCGTGTTCGAAGGTGCCTTATGGGTTGCCTCCTTTCAAGAGAAGCACGAATCACGAGGGGACCCTGTTAGCCATGATCCATCATCTTCACGGCCAGCTGTGAGGCGTGTTCGAAGGTGCCTTATGGGTTGCCTCCTTTCAAGAGAAGCACGAATCACGAGGGGACCCTGTTTGCCATGATCCATCATCTTCACGGGCAGCTGTGAGGAGGCATTTCAGTTGAGAAAACAAGCTCACGATTCACGAATGAATGGATGGCACTCCAGTCCATGAGTCTCTTGCTTAACCAATCAAAGCAGCTGAGGTGCAGATACGGCAACTTAAAAGCCAGAGTATTGAGGATAATCCTGGGTCTTTCACATGCATGCACAGGCAGTGGTGAGGCATGTAAGCTGCTGCAGAAGCCACAAGTGTGGTGTGCTTGCTTCAAATCTCCTTTCTTTTCATTCATCTGCCTGCCAGCCAGCACTCAGAAGGGTGCTCTACTGGTATTTCTCACTGGAGAGCACCTGCTTGGCAGGCCTCATTTGATTTGTTCATTAATTATTTGATTGTTTATTGTTTTCTAGCACTTCCATTATTTGTTAATCGTGTGAACAATCTTTCCAGCACTATCATTTCTAGAGATAAAAAAAACAATGTCACTAAGTGCAGAACTGATTGATCAAGTTTCTGAACATGCCAACAGCATCTGTTTCAATCTCAACCACAGAATACTACTGGTAGGTACCGTACAAACGGCTAGCAGTCACACGCGCACGCACACCTACAATACACAATGACACTAAACATTGTCCAATCAGACTCTCCAGCAGTCAAAACACCCACACCTGCCCTGCTCGAGGCAACTGGAACGTGCCATGATTAACTACCAAAAGAGTGCTTTGTGCAGCATATATGCAGGTGGAGGAGGAAGAGGAAGAAGAGGGGGGAGGGGGGGTGACGAGGGGGAGGAAGAGCGGAGGTTCCTAAGCAAAGGGGAACCCGATCCGCACGACAAACTCGCAGGCGTTGTAGTTTCGGTCGTACTGCACGTCGCCTGCCATGGCCAGCAGGATCTTGCGGCACACCGAGAGGCCCAGCCCCTCCTGCGTGCGCGTGGTGGGGTCCGCCTCGTCGTACAGCTGCTGCACTAGCTCCTGGGGAAGGGCGCCCGAGTGTTGCACTCTGAAAGCAGAGGGGTGGGGGGAGAAGACACAACACATGAAGGGGGTTGACACCAACAGAAAGGTGGGGAGGGGTCCGCCTCGTCATACAGCTGCTGCACCAGCTCCTGGGGAAGGGCGCCCGAGTGTTGCACTCTGAAAGCAGAGGGGTGGGGGGAGAAGACACAACACATGAAGGGGGTTGACACCAACAGAAAGGTGGGGAGGGGTCCGCCTCGTCATACAGCTGCTGCACCAGCTCCTGGGGAAGGGCGCCCGAGTGTTGCACTCTGAAAGCAGAGGGGTGGGGGGAGAAGACACAACACATGAAGGGGGTTGACACCAACAGAAAGGTGGGGAGGGGTCTGCCTCGTCATACAGCTGCTGCACCAGCTCCTGGGGAAGGGCGCCCGAGTGTTGCACTCTGTAAGCAGAGGGGTGGGGGGAGAAGACACAACACATGAAGGGGGTTGACACCAACAGAAAGGTGGGGAGGGGTCCGCCTCGTCATACAGCTGCTGCACCAGCTCCCGGGGAAGGGCGCCCGAGTGTTGCACTCTGTAAGCAGAGGGGTGGGGGGAGAAGACACAACACATGAAGGGGGTTGACACCAACAGAAAGGTGGGGAGGGGTCCGCCTCGTCATACAGCTGCTGCACCAGCTCCTGGGGAAGGGCGCCCGAGTGTTGCACTCTGTAAGCAGAGGGGTGGGGGGAGAAGACACAACACATGAAGGGGGTTGACACCAACAGAAAGGTGGGGAGGGGTCCGCCTCGTCATACAGCTGCTGCACCAGCTCCTGGGGAAGGGCGCCCGAGTGTTGCACTCTGTAAGCAGAGGGGTGGGGGGAGAAGACACAACACATGAAGGGGGTTGACACCAACAGAAAGGTGGGGAGGGGTCCGCCTCGTCATACAGCTGCTGCACCAGCTCCTGGGGAAGGGCGCCCGAGTGTTGCACTCTGTAAGCAGAGGGGTGGGGGGAGAAGACACAACACATGAAGGGGGTTGACACCAACAGAAAGGTGGGGAGGGGTCCGCCTCGTCATACAGCTGCTGCACCAGCTCCTGGGGAAGGGCGCCCGAGTGTTGCACTCTGTAAGCAGAGGGGTGGGGGGAGAAGACACAACACATGAAGGGGGTTGACACCAACAGAAAGGTGGGGAGGGGTCCGCCTCGTCATACAGCTGCTGCACCAGCTCCTGGGGAAGGGCGCCCGAGTGTTGCACTCTGTAAGCAGAGGGGTGGGGGGAGAAGACACAACACATGAAGGGGGTTGACACCAACAGAAAGGTGGGGAGGGGTCCGCCTCGTCATACAGCTGCTGCACCAGCTCCTGGGGAAGGGCGCCCGAGTGTTGCACTCTGTAAGCAGAGGGGTGGGGGGAGAAGACACAACACATGAAGGGGGTTGACACCAACAGAAAGGTGGGGAGGGGTCCGCCTCGTCATACAGCTGCTGCACCAGCTCCTGGGGAAGGGCGCCCGAGTGTTGCACTCTGTAAGCAGAGGGGTGGGGGGAGAAGACACAACACATGAAGGGGGTTGACACCAACAGAAAGGTGGGGAGGGGTCCGCCTCGTCATACAGCTGCTGCACCAGCTCCTGGGGAAGGGCGCCCGAGTGTTGCACTCTGAAAGCAGAGGGATGGGGGGAGAAGACACAACACATGAAGGGGGTTTAGGACCAACAGGGAGTTGGGGGTCCGCCTCGTCATACAGCTGCTGCACCAGCTCCTGGGGCAGGGCGCCCGAGTGTTGCACTCTGTAAGCAGAGGGGTGGGGGGAGAAGACACAACACATGAAGGGGGTTGACACCAACAGAAAGGTGGGGAGGGGTCCGCCTCGTCATACAGCTGCTGCACCAGCTCCTGGGGAAGGGCGCCCGAGTGTTGCACTCTGTAAGCTGAGGGGTGGGGGGAGAAGACACAACACATGAAGGGGGTTGACACCAACAGAAAGGTGGGGAGGGGTCCGCCTCGTCATACAGCTGCTGCACCAGCTCCTGGGGAAGGGCGCCCGAGTGTTGCACTCTGTAAGCAGAGGGGTGGGGGGAGAAGACACAACACATGAAGGGGGTTGACACCAACAGAAAGGTGGGGAGGGGTCCGCCTCGTCATACAGCTGCTGCACCAGCTCCTGGGGAAGGGCGCCCGAGTGTTGCACTCTGAAAGCAGAGGGATGGGGGGAGAAGACACAACACATGAAGGGGGTTTAGGACCAACAGGGAGTTGGGGGTCCGCCTCGTCATACAGCTGCTGCACCAGCTCCTGGGGCAGGGCACCCGAGTGTTGCACCCTGCAAGGGGGGGTGGAGCAAAGGGGCCAGATACAATGCATTAGGCGCACACAGACACAGTGTGGTGGAGTCCGCCTCGTCATACAGCTGCTGCACCAGCTCCTGGGGAAGGGCACCCGAGTGTTGCACTCTGTAAGCAGAGGGATGGGGGGAGAAGACACAACACATGAAGGGGTTAGACACCAACAGGGAGTTGGGGTGGGGTCCGCCTCATCGTACAGCTGCTGCACCAGCTCCTGGGGGAGCGCGCCCGAGTGTTGCACTCTGGTGGAGGGAGATGTGGGAGAGAGCAAAGAGAGGCGAGTGAATAAAGTGAGGGAGGAATCCGAAGACAGAGCGTGTGTTGAGGCGCCTCAAAACTAGAGCGTGGTGGGGTGTGCCTCGTCGTACAGGGGGAGCGTGTCCGAGTGTTGCACTCTGAAAGGGAACGCATGCATCAGCAGCGCCAAACCACACCCTCAACCCCCCCCATTCCCAGACCCCTTTCCCCACTCCCCCTCTTCCTCCAGCACAGCCCACTCCCCCCACCCCCCTTGCAACCCCATCCCCCCTGCTCACACTCACCGGAACTCGCATTTGAGGGAGCCCTGGTCGCCGAACAGGCTCCTGGCGCACCTTCACCCACCCGCCTGCCGGCGTGAACGCCACGGCACTGGTCAGGTACTCCGCCAGGGCATGCTGCAGGCGGGCTGGGTCACCGGCGAGGCCATCCCCTGCCAAACCCAACCCACATTCCCCTTCCAGCTCCCACTCTCTCGCCCAGATCCTGGCCCACATCCCCCCTCCCAGCCCTGCTTCTACTCACCGGAACTCGCATTTGAGGGAGCCCTGGTCGCCAAAGAGACTGCGCGTGCTCGTCACAAGCCGAACCTTCACCCACCCGCCTTGCGGCGTAAAGGCAACCGCACTGGTGAGGTACTCCGCCAGGGCCTGCTGCAGGCGGGCTGGGTCCCCTGCGAAGCCATCCCACCCCATGCCAAACCCGCCACACACCTTCCAGCCCTCACTCTCCCCCCACCCCCCATCCCTGCTGCTTGCACTCACCGAAATTCGCATTTGAGAGAGCCCTGGTCGCCAAAGAGACTGCGCGTGCTCGCCACAAGCCGAACCTTCACCCACCCGCCCGCAGGCGTAAAGGCAACCGCACTGGTGAGGTACTCCGCCAGGGCCTGCTGCAGGCGGGCTGGGTCACCGGCGAGGCCCGGGAAGGAGCGCAGCTGCTGCGGCGGGTCGAAGACGAGAGAGACCCCGCGGCGGGAGGCGGCTTGCTTGCCCTGCGCGACCACCGCGTCGACGACGGATGCGATGGTGAAGACGGCTGGGATGATGTTCACGTAGCTGCAGATGGAGGGGCAGAAGGGAGGGAGAAGGAGAGGGAAGTGGGGAGAGGGGAGAGGGGAGTCAGAGCGCTAGTGAGGTACTCCGCCAGGGCCTGCTGCAGGCGGGCTGGGTCCCCTGCGAGGCCCGGAAGGAGCGCAGCTGCTGCGGCGGGTCGAAGGCGAGAGACACTCCGCGCCGGGCTGCGGCTTGCTTGCCCTGCGCGACCACTGCGTCGATGACTGATGCGATGGTGAAGACGGCTGGGATGATGTTCACGTAGCTGATCATTAAGGGGGAGGGGAGGGAGGGAGATATGCGGGGGGTGGGTAGGAAGAGGGAGTAAGATAAGCTTGCTTGCTCTGTGCGATCACTGCGTCGATGACTGATGCTATGGTGAAGATGGCTGGGATGATGTTCACGTTGTCAATATCGTCATCCCCCAGAATACGATCCACCTGCTCCTTGCACCTCTTTTGACACACCTCAAAGATTGTCTCACAACTCACCGTCCCTTCAATCAACTCACCCCTCCTCGATGGTATCAATATCATCATCCCCCAGAATCCGGTCCACCTGCTCCTTGCACCGCTCCGCCACGCCCACCGCATTCCTCTCCTCCTCCCCTACCAGCCGCCCCTCCTGCTCCTCCTTCCTCAGCCCCTCCAGCGCATGCTCAATCCCGTCCAAAGGCCCGCGGATGGCGTCTCTGGTGTACGCGACGGCTTTGGCCTTCTCCTTGGCGAAGTCCTGCGTGGCGCGCTGCAGGTTGAGAGCTGCTTGCAGCTCGGCGGAGACGGTGTGCAGGAAGCAGAACACCCCCGTCACGTGCCCGTCGGAATCCCGGCGCGTCTGCACGGTCAATAAAGCCTCCACCAGTTGGCCCTGCGGGGTGGGGGGAGAGGGTAAGGGGAAGGGGAAGGGGAAAGGGAGAGGCGGGTTGAGAGAGTGGATGGTGGCATCTCATCTCATCTCTGGTGTACGCCACGGCTTTGGCCTTCTCCTTGGTGAAGTCCTGCGTGGCGCGCTGCAGGTTGAGGGCTGCTTGGAGCTGGGCAGAGACGGTGTGCAGGAAGCAGAACACCCATGTCACGTGCCCGTCATGTGAAACAAAACACTCACATGGGCATCCAGGAACTCCAATGAATAACGATCAGTCATCTGCCGGACATGGCCTTGTTGATCACAATCATCAGCTTCGTCATCGTGTCCGCCCTTCATGCCTTCATGCGCACATGTACCCACGGATGCACGCATGCACGCTACAAGACCCAAAGAGTAGCCCCAAGGGCCAACACTCACATGCGCATCCAGGAACTCGAGGGGATAACGATCAGTCATCTGGCCGGACATGGCCTTGTTGATCACAATCATCAGCTTCGTCATCGTGTCCGCCTTCATGCTTGCATGCGCGCATGTACACATGGATGCACGCATGCACGCTACAGGACCCAAAGAGTAGCACCGACACTCACATGTGCATCCAGGAACTCCAATGGGTAGCGGTCAGTCATCTGGCCGGACATGGCCTTGTTGATCACAATCATCAGCTTCGTCATCGTGTCCGCCTTCATGCTTGCATGCGCGCATGTACACATGGATGCACGCATGCACGCTACAGGACCCAAAGAGTAGCACCGACACTCACATGTGCATCCAGGAACTCCAATGGGTAGCGGTCAGTCATCTGCCCCGACATTGCCTTGTTGATCACAATCATCAGCTTCGTCATCGTGTCCGCCTTCATGCGGCAGATGGGGCCGAAAATGCCACCCAGCAGCAGCCGGTCGATCGCCTGCTGACGTGGCACCCCGGTGATCCTCTCCATAGCGGGATTCCAGTCCGTGCAGTTGCCAAAATCTGTAAAGGGAGAAAGGAAGGGGGAGTGGAGGGTGGTAGGAGAGAGGGGGGGGAGTGGGAGGGGTAGAGGAAAGACACGCCTGGGTGAGTGGCACGGCACTCGGTGATCCTCTTCTTAGCGGGGTTCCAGTCCGTGCAGTTGCCAAAATCTGTAAAGGGAGAAAGGAAGGGGGAGTGGAGGGTGGTAGGAGAGAGGGGGGGGAGTGGGAGGGGTAGAGGAAAGACACGCCTGGGTGAGTGGCACGGCACTCGGTGATCCTCTTCTTAGCGGGGTTCCAGTCCGTGCAGTTGCCGAAGTCTGGAGACAAACACGGGGGGGAAGGGCGGGGGGGGGAAGAGGGGAACGGAGAGAGACAAGGAATGCATGCGTGAGCGCCACGGCACCCCGGTGATCCTCTCCATTGCGGGGTTCCAGTCCGTGCAGTTGCCGAAGTCTGGAGGAGAAAACGGGAGGGGAGAGGTGGGAGACAGGGGAGAGGAGAGAGAGAAGAGGGAGAGGAGGGAGAAAGTGTGAGTGACGAGGCACCCCGGTGATCGTGGTACAAGAGAGGTAAGGGGTGGAAGGGGTTGAAGGGGTGGTACCATGGTAGGGTGGAGGGGTTGGAAGGGGTTGAAAGGAGAGGAATGCGGGTGGCAAAGCATGACTGCGGCAAGGTACACGTGCACTCCGGTTACCAACCACCCATCCCCACACACCCACACCCAAGCACCCCCACACCCAGGCACCCCCTAATAAGCACACACCCAGGCAATCCCACACCCAAGCACTGAGCACTCACCGTCAGTGGAGAAGATGGGGGGGATAAGGGAGTTGTTCCCGTGCACAATGGCCTCATAATCGCCCTGCAGGCGCGTGAACTTGCCCTGCACCGCCTTCTGCGCCGTCACGTCCTGCCCCACGAAGCACACCCCCACCACGTCCTCCATGTCGTCCCCCCCCATGGCTGTCCCGCGGCTGGCAAAGGCGTTGACGACGAGGATGACCGAATCCTTGTTGGATTGCACCACGCCCCACGTGCGCAGATGGATCTCCAGCTCCTTGCTCTCCTGACCTGGTGGTGGTGGTGTTGGTGGGAGGGAGGGGGGAAGAGACGTAGGGGAGGGGAGGGAGGGGAAGGCAGGGAGGGGAAGGGAGGGAAGGGACTGGAGGGAGGGAGCGGAAGTTGACCACGAGGATGACCGAGTACTTGGAGGACTGGACGACCCCCCACGTGCGCAGATGGATCTCCAGCTCCTTGCTCTCCTGACCTGCAGTTGCAGTGAGGGAGGGAAGGGAGGGAAGGGAGGGAAGGGAGGGAAGGGAGGGAGAGGGAGAGGGCAAAGGCGTTGACCACGAGGATGACCGAGTCCTTGTTGGACTGGACGACCCCCCAGGTGCGCAGATGGATTTCGAGCTCCTTGCTCTCCTGGCCTGGTGGGATAGAGGGGAGACGACAGGAGGAGAGAAGGGGAGAAGGGAGGGGAAGGGAGACAGGACAGATGCTCAAAATGCCGATGGGGGGAGGACAAGGCAAAGGCGTTGACGACAAGGATGACCGAGTCCTTAAGGGACTGGACCACAGCACACAGCACACAGCAAAGGGACCATGCTAGTAACGAGCCTACCTTGCAAGGCGAGGAAGAGAGCTCGCCCAACAGCGTCCACGTTGCCCTCCACCACCAGGTCCGTGGATAAGGTGCTTCCCTCCCCCGAGCGCTCTCCTCAACACACCACACACACACCAACGTACCTTGCAAGGCGAGGAAGAGAGCTCGCCCAACAGCGTCCACGTTGCCCTCCACCACCAGGTCCGTGATCAGATGTGCTTCCCTTCCCCTATCCGCCCCTCCCTGACAGCAACCAGATGGCGCACAGGGCAAGCACAGGCAGCACAAGGGCACTCGTACCTTGCAGAGCCAGGAAGAGCGCGCGGCCAACAGCGTCCACGTTGCCCTCCACCACCAGGTCCGTGACCAGGTGCTTCCCTCCCCCTAGCTCTCTCCTCAACACACCACACACACACCAACGTACCTTGCAAGGCGAGGAAGAGCGCGCGGCCAACAGCGTCCACGTTGCCCTCCACCACCAGGTCCGTGATCAGGTGCTCCCCAAAGTGTCCCCTTGGCGAGCCATGTGAGCAAATCTGCCAAGCAGAGAACATCCATGTACCAACATACCTTGCAGAGCGAGGAAGAGCGCCCTCCCAACAGCGTCCACGTTGCCCTCCACCACCAGGTCCGTGATCAGGTGTTTTCCCAGGGCGTCCCCTGTGGCCAGCCCTGTCAGCGCCGCCAGCCTGGCGTTCCACCCGGTGACACACCCGTCCCTGTCAACGGCCAGGATGGGCGCTGTTGCTGTCTCGAGCACTCGCACCATCTCACTCTCTGTGGCGCTCAGGCGATCCATTTCCTGCCAGAGAATGCGCGTGTGGTGTGAGAGGGGACATAAGGGAAAGGGCTTAGAAGCAGCAGCTACAGCAGCAGCGGCAGCAGCGGCAGCAGCCGCCAGCCTGGCGTTCCACCCGGTGACACACCCGTCCCTGTCCACGGCCAGGATGGGCGCTGTGGCCGTCTCCAGCACTCGCACCATCTCACTCTCTGTCGCGCTCAGACGGTCCATTTCCTGTCAGAGAAAGGGGTGCGGCGCACACGGGTGTTGGGGGAGAGGGGAGAAAGGGGTGGAGGGCTTAGAAGCAGCAGCAGCAGCATCAGCAGCCTGGCGTTCCACCCGGTGACACACCCGTCCCTGTCCACGGCCAGGATGGGCGCTGTGGCCGTCTCGAGCACTCGCACCATCTCACTCTCTGTCGCACTCAGGCGATCCATTTCCTGGTGTTTAAAAGGGGAGAAAGGGGTGGAGGGAAGGGAGATGGGAAAGGGAGGAACGGGGGTCAGAGCCGGGGGTTCGTTCCACCCGGTGACACACCCATCCCTGTCCACGGCAAGAATGGGCGCTGTGGCCGTCTCCAGCACTCGCACCCACTGCCCGAAACCCACTCCCACACAACTCACCTGGTCGCGCATGCGGTTGAGCATCATGTCACGCATGTCATTGTCACTGAAGGACGTGAGGTGGCCCCTACAACCACACACAACCCCCCTGCACCCTTTTTCACCCCTCTCAACCCCTCACCTGGTCGCGCATGCGGTTGAGCATCATATCCCGCATGTCATTGTCACTGAAGGACGTGAGGTGGCCCCTATAACCTCACATAACCCCCCTCCACCCCTCTCCACCCCCCCCACCTCCCCCTCAACCCCTCACCTGGTCGCGCATGCGGTTGAGCATCATATCCCTCATGTCGTTATCGCTGAAGCTGGTCAGATGGCCTCTCAGGATGAGCTGCAGCGAGTGCACGGCGTCCATCTCCACGTCCTCCCACGGCATCGACCGCTGCCTCACCACCTCCAGGAACGCCCCTCCTCACACCCACCCACCCCCACACGCCCACTGCCTGAAACCCAGAAACCCACTGCTAGAAACCCAGAAACCCACAGCTAGAAACCCAGAAACCCACCCCCAGAAACCCACCTGGTCGCGCATGCGGTTGAGCATCATATCGCGCATGTCATTATCACTGAAGCTCGTGAGGTGGCCTCTCAGAATGAGCTGCAGCGAGTGCACGGCGTCCATCTCCACGTCCTCCCACGGCATCGACCGCTGCCGCACCACCTCCAGAAACGCCGCAAAGCTCGCCCTTGGCCCCATATCCATCCGCTCCGGCCGCTCATCGTCCTTGTCTCTATTGTCGTGCTTCTCCCCGCCCCACCGCACCTCCTTCCGCACGTGCGACCGGAACCACAGCAGCACGTCTCTCGCGTACAGCCGCGCACACGCCATCCCGCACACCCCCTCCCCGAGCTCCTCGGCTCGCGGATACCCCGCTTCTGCCAGGCTGTCAGTGCTCAGACCGGACGAATCGGCGTGCGCGGAATCCAGCCAGTCAATAATATCCAGGATCTGCATCTCAGTGGGAGTGGTCCCCAGCAGCCAGAACCGCCCGGCGTAGTACAGCGCAGCGCCGTCGCACTTAACTAAGTCCCGGATATTAGGGTTCTGCGAGACAATCCCGAGGGGAGCGTCCCCGCGCATGAGAAGATCACAGAGGAGAGTCTGCGTCCGGAGCATCTCCTTCTCGCGGTGCTGCCGGGCCATCTCAAGCTCCATATTCACCTGGAGCGAAAACACCTGCATGAGAAACTCGCAGGCCAGGCGCAGCGGGAACGGGAGGTACCGGGCCGTCTCGTGATGACACACCACCAGCCCCCACAGCTTCTTCCCGCGGTTGGGCTGCGCGGGAGCACCACCCGCTCCTCCTTGCTGCTGCGCCTGCTGTGCGGCGTCCTCATCGTTAATAATCACCGCCATGGTCATGGAAGCTGTGGTGCCCATGTTGCGCATGTACTGGATGTGGCAGCGCTGCGCCGCCCGCAGCTGCGACCCCGCCAGCGTCACCGGCTGCTTGAGCCGCCCCTCATCCCTCACCACCTTGACCTCGTTGGAATACGCGTCGCAGATGCACCGCACGCGGTTCTTCATGAAGAGAAACCGGATGGCCTGGGGAATGTCGGTCGCAGGGTAGTGGAGACCGAGGTAAGCCTCCATGGATGGTTTTTTAGCTTCTGCCAGCACCTCTCCATGCTCATCCTCGTGGAATTTGTAAGTCATGACTCGGTCGTACCCCGTCAGCTCCTTCACCTCCTCCACCACAGCCTGGCACAGATTGGTCATGTCGCCGGGCGGCATGCGTTGGAGCCTAGCGATGGCCTTGGCGGCGAGCTTGTGCGCCTGCAGCGCGCCCGCGCCGGTGAAGATGTTTTCGGCGTCGCGGATGGGCTCGAGGTCGATGACGATGCCCACGTCGATGCGGTGCAGGATGGCGTAGAACGGCCGGTGGTCGCCCCGGTTCGAGACGGCTGCTTCGACAAGAACTGGGTTGATCATGCTCAGGTCTGCGGCGCCGGTGGCTTTTTCCAGGGCTGTCACGCTGTCAGGAGTAAACAGCGCACGCGCGTCCACCCCGAAATCTGGAAAGGGAGAGGGGAGGGAGGGGTGACAGAAGAGATGAGAGGAAAAGGGGGAGTGAGTGAGCGGATGGATGGGCTCGAGGTCGATGACGATGCCCACGTCGATGCGGTGCAGGATGGCGTAGAAGGGGCGGTGGTCCCCGCGGAGAGGGGAGGGAGGGGAGAGGGAGAGGGGAGGGAGGGGAGAGGGAGACGGTTCGACATGGCGAGTTCTACCAATACAGGGAGGGGGGGGCTAGTGTGGAGGTTATCAGGGAGGAAAACGGGCGCGAGAGGGGTGGTTGGGGGGGTGTGGGTAGGGTGGAGGGGATGGAATGGGGACCATGGTGTGATAGGGGGAAGAAAGCCATGTGCGTGAACATATGTCGCACGGCCATGTGTGATGTATGCTGAGTCGACTCTAAGCGCGCATGTGTTTGCATGGTTACGATACGCCCAAACATGACGATATTTGATGGCATGCGTGCATGTTGATGGCATGCGTGCATGTTGATGGCATGCGTGCATGTTGATGGCATGCGTGCATGTTGATGGCATGCGTGCATGTTGATGGCATGCATGCATGGACGTAAATGATATTCTTCAAGCGCGTACAACATGATGTGTGATGACGTCATGCGTGCGTGTATGCATGGACATGGATGCTCCTCCCAATGCTCCCCCCCATGCTCCCCCCCATGCTCCCCCCAATGCTCCCCCCAATGCTCCCCCCCATGCTCCCCCCAATGCTCCCCCCAATGCTCCCCCCCATGCTCCCCCCAATGCTCCCCCCAATGCTCCCCCCCATGCTCCTCCCAGTGCTCCCCCCAATGCTCTTCCCGCCCTTTCGAAAGTCACGACATTGGCTTTTGGCTTACCGAGCACGGGGAGCGGCGGAAGCGGAGGCGGAGCAGGCGGAGCGGAGTCCGCGTCCCCCGCCTTGCTCAGGTTGGAGTGCGCGCCCTCAAAGTCCTCCGCGCGGCGGCTTGCGCGGAACCCGCTGCGCCACTTGCGCGAGGGGGACTGCGAGCGCGCGGGGGAGCCCACGCGCCCGTCCGAGCTCGCGGAAGGCCCGGCGCTGCGTCCGCGCTCCTTGGAGTGCTTGGAGCCTGCCGCGTTGTGCCCGCGAATCGCGGAGGAGATCTTGTCCTTGAGAGACGAGAAGGCGCGGCCTGGGCGGGTTAGAGGGGGGGGTTAAGAAGAGCGAGAAAGTAATAGATAGGAAGAAAGGGGGAGAGGGAGACGAGGAGAGGGGACGTAACGGGGAGGGAGGGAAAATGGGATGAGTAAAAGCAAGAAAATTACGGAGAGGTAGAGGAGACAAGACGCGGAAAACGAGGAACGAGGTGAGAAGCGAAAGACGAGAGACGAGCGGGACGGGAGGGAAGGAGAAGGGAAGCAGAGAGGCTAATGGATACGAGAGGAGAGCGGGGGAGAGAACAGCGATACAAACACAGGGAGAGAATCTCTAAGCGCCCGCCCTGCCAGTGCCCTACTGGCGCGCTTAACCGGTCCCCCTTACATACTTCGCTAACCAAAGCCCGGACTCGCTCCTACTAAAGATGGTTCGTCGAACCCGTTTCATTCACCAATGCTCTACTGACACCCCTACCAGCTCCGCGTACACGTTAACGCTTTGAGACGCCTCAACGCTGTTCCTCGTACACGCGAAGGTTTTGAGACGCCTCAAAGCACCTAATCCGTTTCTTAAACACGTTACACTCACTGATGTCCGGCCAAGCTCCTAGCGACGGTTCTTCCTACACGTTACGCTCACCAATGCGCGCCTTGCTATTGCCCCGCAAGCCTCCCAGTACGTAAAACTCGCCAACGCCCTACCGGCGCACCTGATCGGTTCTTCACACACGTTAACGTTCCAAGACGTCCTGAACGAGTTTTGAGGCGTTTCGAATGAGTTTAGGGACGGCTCAGAATACCGAACCGGTTTCTCGTGCACGTTATAGTAACCAATGGTTCACCAGGCTCCTAGTGAAGGTTCTTACTTCACGTTAAACTCACCAATGCCCGACTTTGCGGGAGACGCCTTGCTCGGGGACGCCGTCGCCGCTTCCGCCTTCGCCGCCTCTTCCGCCTTCTTCCGCTCCTCCTCCTCCGCGGCCTTCTTCTCCGCCTCCAGCTCTTCCTCCGTCTTGGGCTTCGGGATCAGCCCCAGCAGGTCCTTGGCGTTCTCGCTAAAAGCAAGCACGTTAAACGTCGCTTCTTCCACCACCACCAGGCATCCGAACGCCTGGATCAACCCTCCGCGCTGCATGCGCTGCAGGTACGACGCGACCGGCGCGCCGCCGGGTTTCCCGCCGCCTTGCGCGCCGCTTTGCCCGCCGTCCGTCTGCGTGATGCCCTTGCTGGCCTCCACCGAGTCGTGGTAGTCGAACCCTTCCGACTCGTTCTCGTACGCGCTGTCGAGCCGCGCGTCCGCGACGGCCTGCGCGACGCGGATGGCGCGCTTCGCCAGGGCCTTGGTGCCCGTGACGCTCGACGAGCTCATGGACACGGGCGGCCCGGACGGCGCGGCGGACGGTGCGGCGGAGGTTACGGTGGACATGGTGCGGGTGCTGTTGGTGGGGGAGCTGGTATCAGCAGTCGACATTGTTGCGGAGCTCATAGCTGGTTCTTGGCTTGCCATACTGAAACCCTTGCCTGCCTCCACCTAGTGGTTTAGAGCGACTACACTGCTTCGGTAGCTAACAGTAACTAGGTAGCTATAAGATGGAAACTTGTTGCGAGACTCTTCGGTGGAGAAGTCACTACTCTCTGTTCAGTCGGCAGTCGCCTGTAGGCTTCTACTGTCGGAAAGAGGGTGATGGTGGTGTGGTTACAGAGACGAGGTGAGGTGCTTGAAGGGTGTTCGAGGAAGATAAATATCAGTGCTTAGGCACCTGCACGCTGACAAAGGAAAGGGAAGAAAAAAAAAAAAAAAAAAAAAAAAAAAAAAACGCAGTCGGAATACCGACAAGATGACGTGTCCAACGAGGTTGGCAGAGGCACAGAATGGCATGAGTCGCACATCGCACGTAATGCGGGAATAGCAACACAGCCCATGGAGTCACACGCAAAAAACAAATATTTGATGCTTGTAACAGAAACTGCAGCAAAGGTAAGCTGGAGACTGATGGCTGCGAGTGAGTGAGAGAGCGAGAAGGAAGAAGAACAGGCGCAGCTAACAAAACTGACAAGCTGAGTGGAAGCTGGCAACTGCTTAAAAATATTGAAGAATTTAAACCAAAAAAAGAAGTGATATGTTGGTGCTCGACATGGTGGTGTCTATGTTTCTCCTCGCGGTGTCGTTTAAAACCCGAGGTCCACAGGTTTCAAAGGTAGGAAGGTTGGTTGGACCTAGTGGCCCTTTCAAAGGTAGGAAAGTTGGTTGGACCTGGTGACCCAACCAAAGGTAGGAAGGATGAGGCAATTGAGGGGAACTTGAGACTCCGGTTTTAAGTTTCGTTTCGCCGCGGCTGAATGGAAAAGCTTCTGGTTTCCACAAAATGCAGGAAAAGCAGGAGATGAAACAGCGTAGGGGAAGTAGGCCTACCTCGTTACGGTAGAAGACTTCACAGAGATGGCGTACTAGACTATTCGCTGCGCATTTCACACGTTGATTTCTAGCACTCTTGGAAGTAAGCTTCGCTCAACCACTGATAACCAGTCAGCTTCACCACAACACCACTTCCAATTATCCCTTAGCTTCTCAACCAGAATCAGTGGCAGAGCAGGAGCAGCAGCAGGTGAGCAGCAGAGTGGGACTACGCGTTGCTGGAAACAGAAAAGGGCGCGAAATGTGTTGTTGGTGGTGGCTAGGGAGGGATTGCTGGTTTGGTGGATGGATAACACATCGGGATTGCCGCGCGAGCGACGCTCAGGGAGCCAGGAGCTGCAAACCGAACCAAACTCAACGACCCCATGGCAACAAGTTTGTTTCTGTCTTGGACACTCTGGAAAGGGGATGGGTCAGGGATATTAGGGGAAATGCTCACAGGTTTTCGTGGACAGTCCATACCAAACCCCAGTTCCTGATTTTTGTCAAACTTGTTTTCTGTTCCCAGACCCTTTCACCCATGACATGTGAATATATCGCAAAATATGTGGGAAAACCAATGTGTCTACAAGAGTTATCCACCGTGGCCTTCGAACTCGGTCGGAAGCCCTACAGTCTACACATGGATGGGCTCCCTATTTTTACATCCTCCCTGGGTGGACGAGGTGTTCTATAGCCCAGGTGTAGCGTAGTGAAGTGGTTGTCATGGGGGTTCAACAAAAACGGTCAGCTGCCACGATATTCAGAGCCACCAAGCTTCTGGCTGCCTGCCTGCCAGAAGCCAACCATGCGAGTTGTGTGCAACTTGAGATGGAAGTTGGATATAGCCGACAAGGAATAACGCCACGTCGTTATCCTGGTCCAATGGTTCACGCTGCTTCGTTTGAGGGAAGATCCGGGTACTCCACATAAGCACACAATAGGGTTACAGGCGGAGAAGATAAACCCAGATGGGCTTGGGTAAGGGGAAGGGAGAAGCCACCAGGGAGAGCCGTGGCATGGTTTGGAATGAGACCAAGCGACTCGAAAAAGGGTGAAGCTCATTGGCACGCACGGCAGCAAGCTGCCTGTCTGCTGAGTCAGACGCGTGACTGAATCATTAGCAAGCTGTGTGACACATGCTTGGTGGCATAACAGAATATCAACAGCCAACCAGATTTCCACTCGGAAGTGCACTTTCCACTGCATGTATACGTCGACAGCATGTGACCTGACTGTGATGTGATTCTAGCGGAGCAGCTCAGCCCCACACGCAGCATAATCAAAGGTGTAGTATCGCGTATGCGCAAGATGGCTTCAACGTGAAGGAAATTCTTGATTCTTATTTATTAACAAATATGCCTAAAATGTATGGGCTGGTAGAACTAGTCTGGGATGCTCTGAACATATTGCCAGCCAGCAGAGCATTTGTTCCATTACCTGTAGTTTCTAGGATACACGGTAGAGTGTTCAGCAAGAAACAATGGATAAATAACAAACCGCATGAGGAAAACCTTCTCCAATGCCGATAAACTTCAACCAAACTCTCAGAAATAGAATGCAACGGAATGATTGAACTAGAGAAGCAATGGATACAAATAGCAACCCTAAAAGTGTTTTACTCCCTAGAGTGCTACTCACTCTAGCCTAAGAACCTATAATAACATTTGACACACCCCCATAGGCTAAGTGAGAAGCATCAAAGCAAGCTGGGTGAACAAACGGTCACAAGACCAGTCAATGCAAGAAGCAAAGCAAGCTCAGGGTGGATCTCAAGGACACCACACAAATTCCGAGCACAAGCAAGCGGACACAAGGCCAGTTCAAGAGTTCACTATGATATATACCAGCAAAGCACAACAAGCAGAGCAAACAACAAGTCTACAGCAACCGAGGGCCTACCTCAACAAGCCCCAACTGCACACAGAACCTGTGGTGGTCACCAGGCGCCAAGGCCTTGGTGAAGACGTCGGCAGTGTTGGCCTCTGAGGCCACAAAGTCCAAGCGTGCCTGGCCGCGTCGCTGCAACTCTCGCGGGAGGAAGTACCTCACGTCAATATGCTTCACTCTGCTCTCCAGTCGAGGCTCTCGACACAGGAGGATCATGGCCTTGTTGTCAGCGTACAAGGTCGGTGCAGAGCGAGGCCGCTCACCAAGGTCGGCGAGCAAGAAGGTCAACCAGCGAAGCTCCTGTGCCGCCATGGCACCAGCGTAGATCTCTGCCTCTGCACTGGACGAAGCCATAGACGACGACCGTGTAGACCTCCACGACACAGCACCAGCACCCAGACTGAAGCAGTAACCCTGAGTCGAACGCTGGATCTCCACGTCGTCAGCGTAGGAAGAGTCGCAGTGACCGGTCAACACAACTGGCTGTGTCCCTCCAAGCACAAGCCCCATGCCTGATGTAGTCGCCAGGTACTTCGCCACCCTCACAGCAACTGTCCAGTGAACAGGACGGTGTCTCCCAGTCGCAACAAAGCGAGAGAGGACGCTGAGGGGAAATGCGAGGTCCGGCCGAGTACAAGTCATCAGGTACATGAGGCAGCCCACAAGCTCTGCGTAGGGACCACTAGACTCAAAGGGCTCGTCGGGAAAAGGGCCAGTGAGTCGGTGGTCAACGGCAAGAGGAGTGGGCTGTGTGGTGGAGAACTGAAACCCGAACCGCCGAAGGACCTGCTGCACCATGTGTGACTGAGTCAGTGTGATGGTGCGAGCGGCTCTGTCCCGGGTGATCGGCAGGCCAAGGTAGCGCTGCAGTTCACCAAGGTCAGTGCACTTATGTCTCTTCTGCAGTTCGGACTTCACCTCAGCCGGAGCTGCTCTGTCTGCTGTAGCAAAGACCAAGTGGTCAACGTAAACCAGTATAAAGAAAGGAGTGGAACCGGCGCGAACAAACAGCGACGGGTCGGCAGAGGAAGGGCGAAACCCAAGGCCACGAAGCGTGGAGCGAAGAGTGTCGTGCCACTCACGGGGCGACTGGCGGAGACGTAGACTGGCCGCCTCAGACTCCACTGGGTCCCAGGTGGGAAGGTGTCAGTGAAGCCAGGAGGAGGGCGTAGCCAGATCTCCTCGTGTAGCCGGCCCTGGAGAAACGCAGTGGAGAAGTCGAGGGAGTGGAGCTCGTAGTCTCGCTGTGCTGCTACGTGTAGTAACACCCAAAGAGTAGTCATCTTCGGGGTCGGGGCGAAGGTATGAAAGAAGTCAACTCCCTCACGCTGACTGAAAGCCCTAGCCACGTAGCGCGCCTTGAACACAGGCGGTGAACCAGGCGGCCGCTTCACCTTGAAGAGCCACATGCCATCGACAACGTTCGCCCTGGGAGGGGGAACTGCGTCGACGTAAGTGCCTGTGGATCTCCAAGACGCTAACTCCGCGTCCATAGCCGCTTTCCACTGAGAGGCCCACTCCCCTGACACTGCCTCACGGTACGTGCGAGGTGTCGGTATGTCAAGGGCGTCGGGGTCTCCCTCAAGGGAAAGCAGTATGGCGCAGAGAGAGGGGGAAGCGGCTGCTAAGAACTCCAGCTCAAACTGCCTGTCCTCTAGGACGTCACAGCCAAGGGCAGACTCACCCCCGACGGACAGAGGACGGGGAGGTGGAGCAGCCACCACACGCGTGGCGTAGTCAAGGCGGCGGGTGGAAGCAAAGTCAGCAACAGCGGCAGTAAGAGCCGAGACAGACGACGGAGAGGCATGAGGGTCGGTGACAAGAGAAGCGAGAACACGAGAGACAACAGGGCGAGCAGCACGGTAGTAGTCACTGATAGGGTGAGAGGAAACGGTGAGAGACGACGCAGGAGGTGAGGGGAGAACAGACACAGGCGAAGAACGACGAGGAGGAGAACGAAACAAGACAGTGCGGAGGTCGGCAAGAGGAGACGAGGGCCGAGCACGTGGAGGACAACGACTGGTCCAGTCGTGCCGGACAACAGGAGGAGGCGACTGTGACTGAGGAGGAGAGAAAACAGCCGGAGTCGAGTCCAGAGGAGGAAACGTAGGACCGTACGCGGTAGGAGACTGTGAGTGAACAGGAGGAGAGGAAGGAAGACCAAGGGCCCGAAGGCCACTCACGGGAGGGAACAGCTGCTG